AGAATATTTTCCATCAATTTTGTGACCTCCATGAATATAAAGGGCAAAGGTGGAAATATGCTTTAAGAGCACTAATTTATACGGTGTAGTGAAAGGTATACCTTTATAAGATATGTAAAACTTTTTTATTCTCATTTTGTATATATTCAAAAATTTCTCCTTGTGTTTTTTTTTTTTTTTTTTTTTTTTTCTAATTCTTTTTTATTAACAGCTCCTTCTATTAAATACGATGAAGCGACTGAAACTTTAATTGATGGCATTTTGTCTAACTTCTAAAAACGCTCTTCATTTCGAAAAGGTGGCGGAAAAGAAAAAAATTTAGATTGATTGATATATATTTATATTTATAAAAATCAATCTAAAATTTCTTTATTGAAATATTTACATATATTTCAATAAAGAAATATTTTCTTTTTGTCTGCTAATATTTTTTTTTTTAGTGTTAATTCAACATTACAAATTAAAACTCTTTAATGAAAAAAGCCTAGAATTGAGTTGATGTTTTAAGTAAAATAAGAAAAGCCCAAAAAGTAACTGATGTAATATTTTTATTTTTTGATAAAAAATAAATTCTAATAATGTTTAAAATTGGTATTAATATTAATGTTTATTAAATGAAGATGAGTAAAAAATAAGTAATGTTTATTAGATGAAGATAAGTAAAAAAATAAGTTACAAGTTATTTTTTGGTCTTGAAAATTGTTTGAATGATAATTTATTATTTATCAAAATATTTTCTTTTTTAATTTTTGTTGTTTTTATATTTTAATTAAAAGTAGATATTATTGTGTCATATATTATAATATACCTTATATTATACTATTATATTTTATATTAATAATGAGTATTTTTGTTTTTTTGTTTTTCAATTTTTTTTCAATATTCTATAATTATCTTATGTAGATGTTTATGTTTTAGCAACCTAGTATTCTTTCATTCTTTGTCTTTGTTATTGAGCCTTAAGTTATTTGAACATAATATATTCAGCACTCTGCTGAATAATAGAGTAATAAATAAATTAATAAAAATGAGTTTAAAATATAATAAATTTATAAAATAAAGAAAATCTTATCTTTGCTTATAATGTCTACTAATATGATTGTTTAGCAAGTATCATGGTTATAAAATGTTTAAATTTAGCTAGTTTAATTAGGCCTGTTAGTACACTTATATTATGGTTTCTTCATTTTATATTAGTTCATGTAATTTTTTCAAAATCGAATATGCGGAAAGGAGCTGTTTGGAATGAAGATTTACAAAAAGAAGTAATTCCATCTAATTGGATTAGTGTTAAAACTGTCGGCTTCCAGGTACCAAAACATTGACTGCACTAAAATGCAGAGAAGAATTGGCTAAAGTTTATACAAATAAAAACTAAATTCTCTTAAGGTACATCTATATATTACCTTTATTATTTTTTAAATAAGGTGGTAAGAAGAGTTATTTTGTTGATACAAAATATATAACTATTTGTATAACTATTTCAATTCTAAAAGAAAGCAAACAGTATTGTGAAAATTTTAAATTCACAACTACAAAAGAAAAATGTGATAATGAGAATGTTGACAAGTGGATGCAAGACTTGCACACAAGTGGAAACTTGGATGCAAATTTTCCACTTGTGTGGTTTGGATGGTTCTCCACAATATAATATATCTCCACAAGCATAATATTAGATTTACTTCATGTTTTTTTACAGATAAATCAATTACAGTTAATTGGTGAAATTACCTCATTTATAATCAGGGTGTCTGCAGCTCCTCTAAAATCCTCTAAAGTCCTCTTTTTTTAAAACCACTTCTAAAATCCTCTATTATCCTCTAAAGAGGTAAAAATTTGATCAAAGCTCCTCATTAATTCTTCCTTTTTTAATTTTTGATGGATGTATAATTTTCAAAATACCCATTCTCGGTCTGCAAAACTGGTTAATGCCTTAAAGTGCATGGAATTGTGAAAAATTGCTTTAGAAAATGCATGCTATTTAACATAGCAAATGACATTATTTGATCCCTGTCCAAGCTCCATAAGTGTATAACATGGACGTTAAACCATTAATAAATGGCCACATAAAATTTCTTATAAAAATTTTATGTGGCCACCCCGAAAATTATTTTTCAATGCTAGAAATGTTTTATATTTTGATTATTAATTTATTTTTAATATATTAAAAAGGTTGTTTTATTTAAATTAAATATTTGAAAAAGTTATTAATAACCAACTAACAGTTATATTATTTTTTAAAAACTCAGAGTATTTTCGAAAAGTTATATGGCCTCCATGGATATGAAGGGCAAAGGTGGAAAAATATGTTTTAAGAACACTAATCTATATGGCGTTTAAAAAGATATACCTTCATAAGTTTTAACACTTTTCCATTCATTATTTATTTTTTAAATCTTCCCTTTTTGTTTTGTTTTTTTTAATATATTTTTTTATTTACAGCATCTTATATTGTACTCAATGGACCGAAAGAACGCTCGGTTAATGAAACATTGTTTGACTTTCTAAATTACGCTTTATTTCAAAAAGGTGGTGGAAAAGAGAAGAAACTTGTGTAGATTTTATTCAATTACATGTAAATATATGTAATATTTGAATATGTATTTTTGAATAAAACAAGTTTTATGTCTTTCTTTAACCATACCTAGCTATTTTAGCTAAACTAAACTGAAAAAGTTCTAAATAGTCTAAGTATAGACTATGAATAGATTTAATATCCATAATATACCTTGATAATGTACAGCAACACTTATGTACATGCATAGTACGTTTTGATGATGATCATATTTTGACGCACATAGCACGTTTACATTCATATATACATTTTGACATACATAGCACGTTTTGATAGTGAAAAAGTATTTTACAGTCGCTTAACGTTGATAAATCAACGTTAAAAAAAACTATCATTTTAAACGTTGTATCAACGTAAATTCAACGTTGTTGTAACGTTTTTTCGCGTCGAATTAACGTTGATATAACGTTTGAATCTAACGTTGATGTAACGTTGATAAATCAACGTTGAAAAAAACTTTTATTCTAAACGTTAAATCAACGTAAATTCAACGTTATTGTAACGTTTTTTCGTGTCGAATCAACGTTGATATAACGTTTGAACCTAACGTTGATTTAACGTTGATATATATATATATATATATATATATATATATATATATGTACATATATATATATATATATATATATATATATATATATATATATATATATATATATATATATATATATATATATATATATATATATATATATATATATATATATATATATATATATATATATATATATATGTACATATGTATGTATGTATGTATGTATGCATGTATATATGTATGTATGTATGTATGTATGTATGTATGTATGTTTAAGTTATAATTTGTAAATAAACTAAAAAATTTATTCTTTTAACAAACTTAATTTAGTCTAACTTATTATGTTTTATTAATTTTGAAAATATTTTATAAATGTGAATCGTATTAAAACTAAGTATTATTTCTAACTAAGAAATAAATATTTTAAAAAGTTTTAATAAAATTGTCAACTTAAAACTAAATAAAACATTGACAAAAACAAGCTGAATAAATCGAATTTACCCTGAGATTTATGTACTTTATATACATTTTGATATAAAATCTAAAAGTTTTAAATTAGTCGCAATAAAATAGGCTACAAAATATAATTTTATTTAAAAAAAATTTATACCATATGCATGCATTCTATCAAGTTTTCCTTGCCTTTCCATTACGGCAAATTATTTTTTTAATGGTTACCCAGCCGGCAAATAACGTTGAAATAACGTTGAAATATCGTTGAAACCTAACGTTGAATTTACGTTGATTTAACGTTTAGAATGAAAGTTTTTTTCAACGTTGACTTATCAACGTTAAATCAACGTTAGATTCAAACGTTATATCAACGTTAATTCGACGCGAAAAAACGTTACAACAACGTTGAATTTACGTTGATACAACGTTTAAAATGATAGTTTTTTTTAACGTTGATTTATCAACGTTAAACGACAGTAAAATACTTTCTCACTATCAAAACGTGCTATGTATGTCAAAATGTATATATGTATGTAAACGTGCTTTGTGCGTCAAAATATGATCATCATCAAAACGTACTATGCATGTACATAAGCGTTGCTGTACATTATCAAGGTATATTATGGATATTAAATCTATTCATAGTCTATACTTAGACTATTTAGAACTTTTTCAGTTTAGTTTAGTTAAAATAGCTAGGTATGATTAAAGAAAGACATAAAACTTGTTTTATTCAAAAATACATATTCAAATATTACATATATTTACATGTAATTGAATAAAATCTACACAAGTTTCTTCTCTTTTCCACCACCTTTTTGAAATAAAGCGTAATTTAGAAAGTCAAACAATGTTTCATTAACCGAGCGTTCTTTCGGTCCATTGAGTACAATATAAGATGCTGTAAATAAAAAAATATATTAAAAAAAACAAAACAAAAAGGGAAGATTTAAAAAATAAATAATGAATGGAAAAGTGTTAAAACTTATGAAGGTATATCTTTTTAAACGCCATATAGATTAGTGTTCTTAAAACATATTTTTCCACCTTTGCCCTTCATATCCATGGAGGCCATATAACTTTTCGAAAATACTCTGAGTTTTTAAAAAATAATATAACTGTTAGTTGGTTATTAATAACTTTTTCAAATATTTAATTTAAATAAAACAACCTTTTTAATATATTAAAAATAAATTAATAATCAAAATATAAAACATTTCTAGCATTGAAAAATAATTTTCGGGGTGGCCACATAAAATTTTTATAAGAAATTTTATGTGGCCATTTATTAATGGTTTAACGTCCATGTTATACACTTATGGAGCTTGGACAGGGATCAAATAATGTCATTTGCTATGTTAAATAGCATGCATTTTCTAAAGCAATTTTTCACAATTCCATGCACTTTAAGGCATTAACCAGTTTTGCAGACCGAGAATGGGTATTTTGAAAATTATACATCCATCAAAAATTAAAAAAGGAAGAATTAATGAGGAGCTTTGATCAAATTTTTACCTCTTTAGAGGATAATAGAGGATTTTAGAAGTGGTTTTAAAAAAAGAGGACTTTAGAGGATTTTAGAGGAGCTGCAGACACCCTGATTATAAATGAGGTAATTTCACCAATTAACTGTAATTGATTTATCTGTAAAAAAACATGAAGTAAATCTAATATTATGCTTGTGGAGATATATTATATTGTGGAGAACCATCCAAACCACACAAGTGGAAAATTTGCATCCAAGTTTCCACTTGTGTGCAAGTCTTGCATCCACTTGTCAACATTCTCATTATCACATTTTTCTTTTGTAGTTGTGAATTTAAAATTTTCACAATACTGTTTGCTTTCTTTTAGAATTGAAATAGTTATACAAATAGTTATATAAAGTATATTATAATATAAAGTATATTATAATATATGACACAATAATATCTACTTTTAATTAAAATATAAAAACAACAAAAATTAAAAAAGAAAATATTTTGATAAATAATAAATTATCATTCAAACAATTTTCAAGACCAAAAAATAACTTGTAACTTATTTTTTTACTTATCTTCATCTAATAAACATTACTTATTTTTTACTCATCTTCATTTAATAAACATTAATATTAATACCAATTTTAAACATTATTAGAATTTTTTTTTATCGAAAAATAAAAATATTACATCAGTTACTTTTTGGGCTTTTCTTATTTTACTTTAAAACATCAACTCAATTTTAGGCTTTTTTCATTATAGAGTTTTAATTTGTAATGTTGAATTAACACTGAAAAAAAAAATATTAGCAGACAAAAAGAAAATATTTCTTCATTGAAATATATGTAAATATTTCAATAAAGAAATTTTAGATTGATTTTTATAAATATAAATTTACATCAATCAATCTAAATTTTTTTCTTTTCCGCCACCTTTTCGAAATGAAGAGCATTTTAAGAAGTTAGACAAAATGCCATCAATTAAAGTTTCAGTCGCTCCATCGTATTTAATAGAAGAAGCTGTTAATAAAAAAGAATTAGAAAAAAAAAATACAAGGAGAAATTTTTAAATATATAAAAAATGAGAATAAAAAAGTTTTACATATCTTATACAGGTATACCTTTCACTTCACCGTATAAATTAGTGCTCTTAAAGCATATTTCCACCTTTCCCCTTTATATTCATGGAGGTGACATAATTGTTGGAAAATATTCTAAATTTTAATAGATAAGAGAACTGATATTAATTGTGCGAGAACTAATATTAATTTTTTTTTTAATTTAAATTGAACTCATTATCAAACAATTTTTTTGCTAAATAATTTAATCCTTAAAATTCCTGAATAATTAAAAATTATGTTGATTACCTCAGCATTTTAAAGATATTCCATCAATTGCAATTGATTCACCTAAAAAAAAACAACAAGTTAAGCTAATATTATTGTTTGAAATTTTAATTATCTTTATACAAATACTCATCATATTTTTAAAGTGACTGATAAAAATGGATTTAATTAAAATCACTTCATTTGTATTAAAAAATTAATATTAAAGTCTTAATCATACATTATACAAGAGTATTTTGTAATACAATCAAAATAAATGTTGCGATATGTAATTTTTTTATCCAAAATTTAGCTTCTGTTAGCTTTAGAAAATTTTTAAAGAAATTATTGATGAATTTGGTTCTACGGGCACTAATGTTTTTATATTATTGTAATGTTTGTATTCATTCCCTGTTAGTTTCTGTAAGTCTAAATTTTAAGGTAATTCCATAATAAATTCTGTTTTATCTGAAATTTAGTGTTAGTCTGAATAATTTAATTTCTAAAATCTGTTTTGCATTGCCTGTCTTATAACATCTTCACTTGGAAAAAAAATCATGTGGTTTAAAAGTGAGCTAGAAGCTTTCAACAATGAAGAAAATATTGCATTTACTAATCCTAAAAATATATTAAACCTGTCAGCAAAATCAGCTGTCAATAATTCAAGTATTAGCATCATTAAAAATTCATCTTTGCAGCATTACATTTGTTTTGGTCCAGGTAGTTAAGGATTTTTTTAAATTTCAAAAAACAGAAGTAAATGTTTTTTTAATATCACTTTATCTCTTTTGATTAATGGTGAAACTGCACTAACTGATGAAACACATTGACAGATGTAAGGCCAGTATAAAAGTCGCAAGATCTATTATTTTTAAAATAAATGTTTGTATACAAGTAAATTGCAATAACACGATTTGTTTGGATTATGTTTATATACAAGTTTGTCTGTTTTCGTAGTAATAACTGATGTGGTTGAAGTTAATTTTTCAAATAAATCTTTATTTTTTTATTTCGTGCTGAAGTTCTTTTTTAAAGTTATCATTTTCTTTTTTTAATTCTTGATGCTCTATTAAAAAACAACGCTTAGCATTAATTTCAACATAACTTAATGGATCATTTTTTGAAAAAGCTGTATTATATTTACATTTAATAATATCAGTCTTTGAGCATTGTAGCCCAATTTAAACAAAAAATATCGATTTTTAAACGATAATGTTTTTTCAGGAAAATCGTCTGAACCTCTTGATTATAAATCTCTATAACTTTAAAAGTTGAAATAATGTTTACGATTTTACTTCCATTTCTGCGCGCGCATAAATTTTATATTGTATTTTTTGTCAACAATGATTGAAATAATGACGTTAAAATAACGTTAAATAATCAACGTTTAAACTGTAACGTTGATTTAACGTTAAAATAACGTTAAATAATCAACGTTTAAACGGTAACGTTGATTTAATGTTGTGACATAGTTAAACAACGTTGAATCAATGCTTCAACCGAATTTCAACGTTGAAACAACGTAATAATGCCGGCTGGGTAGTTATTGAGACAATAATTTTCAATGTGCCACTTCCTCAACATTGTCAAAACAACGTTTTATTAACGTTGGCAAAGTAACACTTTTTTAACGTTTTTTAATTAGCACATTTTCAACCAACGTTGAAATAACGTTGTATAAGTGTTGTTTTTTAAATAGTTTAAATTCGTTGAAAAAGCACCTTTGCGACGTTTTTACAGTGATTATTTGCGTACTTATTTTCAACGTTTAATAAACGCATTTTTTTGAGAAGATAAGATACGTTTAAATTTATACGCTTATTCAACGTTGAAAATGTTTCCTTTAAAAAGCGGTTTGTTTTTAACGTTGATGAAGCATAATCTTCGAAACGCTTTTAAAGTGGCTTTTTGCGTAAGTTGATTCCACGTTGATTAAACGTTTTATTTTGAGAGGCTAAATTACGTTACAATTTCAACGCTTGCTCAACGTTTCAATTTACCGCGATTTAATATACAAAAACAGACATTGATTCAACGTTGAAAGAACGTTTTTTTTGTGACTGTAATGCTTCTTCTACGCTGCGACTGGTTTTCAACGTTGACTCAACGCTTACATGTTTGCTGGGCAGGTATAAAAAAATTTTGTAAAGCATCCATGCCACAATTTCACATTCCATAATATTCAAAGAAAAATCAGTAATAGCTTTTATTAAAATACTAAATAAACAAGTTTTTCCTTTATCATAAAGGAAAAACTTGTTTATTTAGTATTTTATGAGAACCTGATAAACTAAATAAAGTATATGCGGTTCATCATAGTTCCTATTACGATTGCCATGATTAAGGATGAACAATATGGTTAATTAAAATTTATACTTCTAAACAAAACGTTTAAAAAAACTTCTAAGCATACGTCTAAAATACTACTAAATATATGTCTAATTATACGTCTAAAATCTTCTTCTTGATTATCAAAAAAAACCAAGAAACAAATACTAGTTTTTATCGATGCAACTATAAACAGCTTCTACTTGTAAAAACTCTCTATTTTCCTTTCTTGTATTCAAAGGATATCGTTATATCAAAAATTCTGCACAAATAATATAATATTTGGTTGCCTAACTTTAAAGGAAATGTTGCTTTTCTTTAACATACTATATAATGCTATATAAACTTGTGAATTAAGTGACATTTTGAACTAATCATCGGCCATGTTATGTATTTTTAAAAAATAAATTAATTTAATAAAACACAAATTAAGCAGGAGGTATGGCAAAAGGTAAGTCTGAATTTTATTTTCCACATTTCAAACCTTTTCTTTCCTTATTTATAACTTATTACTATTTATATGTATATACTGTTGGTTATCGAATTGTTGATATTGAAATTTTGTCTGATGTAATTATTCAACTATGTTGATTGATATGTACAATCAAAATTAAATCTTTTAGAAATTTTTTCCAAAAAAAAAGGAATCAGTTCAATGTTAAATATTTGCTGCTCTAACTACAATGAAAAAAATGAATTTCATATTTTAAAGACATGTTCTGGGAAAAAAAAACTTTTGAAGTAAATAAAAGAATTGTTTATTCAATATGTGCATGAAAAAAGATAAAATCTTTAATGAACATTCCTAAATTTATGACTAAAAATAAACATAACAAAATTTGTCTCTGTGCTAAAATTGTCGCAAAAGAAACAAACGTTCAATCTCTAAAATAAATTTGTCAATCTTCTTTAAATATTGTTGACATTTCAGTATCAGTTGATGGTAGCTGGCAACGTTGTGGGTTTTTTCACAAAATGCAGTTGTTACAGCAATTTTAATAGACACAGGTAAAATTCTTGATTGCAAGCCAATGAGTCGGTTATGCAACGCATGTAGTCTAAAATCAAAACTTAAAAAAAAATTATCCTTAGGCATTTGAAGCTTAGAAGTCATCAAAAGTACAGAAACGTAGTCGGTATTAGATTAAAAACATTAAAAAAAAACATTAAAGGAATTGAAGAGAAAAGCTAATTCACGAATTCTATAATTGATTGCCAACAAAAATACGATAGAATTGTTGTTAGGCAAAATGCCAATGATTTAGAAGGTATGAAAAAGGCCATACTTGCAACATTGTTCAATGTTGCATCATCAGCTGAAAATAATTGGCATACTTATCGCCCTGATTGTATACAAAATTAGTGTCATTATAAACAGGAAAAAGCTAATTTAACATCTACTTACAAGTCAAGTGCTGGTTTTTTAATCTCAGTCATCAGTCATCTAAAGCCTGTGTGTATTGATCTATCTGAAGAGGAACTCTTAAAATAATATAACAAATAAAAAAACTTTTTATAAAACCACGTTTTTGTAATGAACTAAAAAGTAGAAAATAATTTTGTCTTGTGGCTATAGAAATTTTTGAAAATTAATTGAGTCGATAGTAAGTGACATGAAAACTTTTAATTATGAACTCTTAATAATTACGATAACATTTGTAAAATTTTAAACGAAAAACGTGGTGCACATCTTGTCACTTTTAATGATCATTATCGTCCTTAATTACTCTAACTATTGCTTCCTTCTTCTGTTCTTTTTTTTCGTTAAATGCGCACCACGTTTTTCGTTTAAAATTTTACAAATATTATCGTAATTATTAAGAGTTCATAATCAAAAGGGTTCATGTCACTTACTATCGACTCAATTAGTTTTCAAAAATTTCTATAACCACAAGAGAAAATTATTTTCTACTTTTTAGTTCATTACAAAAACGTGGTTTTATAATAAGTTTTTTTATTTGTTATATTATTTTCTTCTTTTTAGTTTTTGATGGGTGGAATTTTATATTTTGTAAACAACTGATTTTGTTTTTATGCTGCGGTCCATTTAAAATCACAGCGACAGTTAAATTTGGTTTTTTTGTTTGAAAATTTTTTATTTAAAGCGACGCGTCAAATTGCGGCGACGCCTCCAAAAGTTTCGCCATAATAAATTTTATTTTGCTGAATTTGTTCAAGAAACTCGGCAAATCATGGTAAAAGTAGTATAATATTGCATTGTCATCGGGTTCTGAGCTATAGTAAAAGTTTCAGAGCTCTAGCTAATCGAAAAGTGGGTTAAAATTGAGTTGCAAAATTCGACCTGGGCAAACAAACAAACAAGAAAGCGAGCTAATAAAAACGTGGTAAAAATATGCCTTCATGATAAGACGCAAAACGAAAATGAGTTTTAATGGAATGATATGGCAGTGCATACCTAAAACAAAATATGTTTTGTTATCGCAGTTGTAGTTGTGTGTAGAAGCAAGTATAGTTTTATTTGAAAAAGTGAATATGATTCCTGGTATATATCCTAGTGGAGACGGACGTAATAAAGACGTCTTTTAAACGTCTTATACTCGTTTTAGACGTTTTTTGAACGTTCAAAAGACGTCTTTTTTTGGTCTGTTGCCCACTGGGATACTCTTCAAGGCAAACAAAAAGTGTTTAATATTCACAGAGTATCAAAATCGACCAACATCTAAAAATCGACAACAAGTTATTTGTAGATGAAAAAAAAAAAAAAGATAATGCAGAGAATGACCAAGGGGGTTGTCTATATGATCTTGGATCTTATTTTATAAATAACAGATTTGTAATTGAGCATTTGACATTTTTATTTGGTAAAATTGCTAATGTAATATTTAAATGCTTTTTTCTCAAATTGTCAATTTTAAACCTTCCGTCCATCCTATCTCATTAACCGTATGTCAGATTTGTATGAATCTTTTACAAAATGTTTATTGCGTCTAGCAGCACAATTAAAACTAAAAGTTTTACAATACTGTTTGGATTTTTTGATTTATAGAAGATTTAGTTTAAAAAAAAATAGTTATTTTATTGTATTTTACTGCTAAACAAAGGTTAAACATCTTTTTCCCTCCTGATCGAAATAGTTCCCCCCTATCAATAATTTATATATATATATATATATATATATATATATATATATATATATATATATATATATATATATATATATATATATATATATATATATATATATATATATATATATATAAACTATATTAAAATAGCTAAAAATAGCTATATACAGTCTTCAAAAAACGTGGCACAAAATTTTAGCACAAAATAAAGTTCCGTTAAACGTTGATTTCCGCGTACCAAATATATATATATATATATATATATATATATATATATATATATATATATATATATATATATATATATATATATATATATATATATATATATATATATATATATATATATATATGTATATATATTATATCTTGAGATTATACTTTCACATTGATAACATAACTTTAAATTGATATTTGCAGAAAAATCACAAAAATTGTCACTCCAATTATAACTGAACT